CCACCACCACATCAATCCACCTAACCTGCTTGTGTGCTGTTGATCCATGTCTCCACTGCATGGCTGTTGAGATATAATGCAGACCAACCAAGATAAGGGCTTCTCTCCGCCTGCACCCAGCCTGCCAGTCTCCCATTATCATACAGTGTGGCTGCATTATGGCCTGTTATCACCCTCTAATTGTTTCATCTGTGTAAGCTTTATCTCCCCGGGCATAATTTTCGCTCTTCAAAGGCAGGACACATGGCAGCTCGGCCGTGGACAGAGGATCTGTTGATTAACTAAACAAGGAGGCCTGAGTTACTAAAAAAAAAAATCAATGCATTGTGCCAATAGTGTCACACATACCTAAGCACAAAATGTGCCAGCAGTGGTGTGTGTAGGGCCGCTAGGCCTGGTACACGGCTGGTGAGGTTTTTTTTTTCTTTTGTCTTTTGGCCAGTAAGTTCAAATCCCAATACTGCCATTATTCACTATGCGACTTTGGGCAAGTGCCTAATCTCCCTAATTCTAGCTTTTTTGTGTATAAAATAAGATAGCTCAAATATGGCCCTCAGCAAAATACCTGCTATTTTCACCAAGCTAGCCCCTCCTCCCTGGTTATCTAAGTCTTACTGAAGAGTAGAGATGTGTTTACCTGATAATTCACAATTCAGAGAAGTTGAGTGTCAGATGGTCAACTTGATGCTGCCTCACCCTAACTCTGCTACTCAGACAGTGCTACAGTGAAACCTAAACAATCTTGCAAGGACAAAGAGGTCAATGAAGATGCCACAGATACTTCATTGCTAAATTAGAGCCTACAGCAGGAGCATTTGGATTGTACTTGAACTTGTCTAAATGATATAAAGCCAACTTGTATTTCTAACCATCTGGGGGCAGACCATATGGCACAACAGGTTAAGTTGCCCTTTGGGACACCTGCTCTATATCAGAGTGCCAGTTTGAGTCCCAGAGACTCCACCTCCAATTCAGCTCCCAGCTAATGCACTGGGAGCCAGCAGATAATAGCTCAACTAGAGTTCCTGCCACCAATGTGGGAGGATCCAGACGAGGTTTCAGACTCCTGGCTTCAGTACGGCCCAGTCACAACTGGAACAGCCATTTGAGGTGTGAACCAGAAGACGGGAAGATCTCTCCATCTTCCTCCAACCCCCTCTCTCTCTCTGTCACTCTGCCTTTCAAATAAACTTTTCTTAACAATATTAGTGTAACAGTTAAATTGCTTCTGAGATCAACCACAGTTCCACTGCAATGCCTGGGTTAAGCGCCAGCTCTTCCTCTTGTGATGCAGCTTCTGGCTAACGTTTACAGAGAAAGCAGCAGATGATAGCTCAGGCGCACAGGTCCCAAGATGGGGTCCTGCCTGGCTCTTGGCTTCAGCCTGGTCCAGCCCCAGCATTTACATTTGGGAAACAAATCAGCAAGTTAAGATCTCTGTGTCTACCAAATAGGATAATACAGTTTAAAAAAATTTTTTAAAGATAATTTGGCTTGCTCTGGACATTTTTGTTCAGCAACAAGAGCCATCAAAACTGTATATATATATATATATATATACATATAGATAAAAAATATATATATTGATCTCATATATATATGAGATCTCATATATATGTATAACATATATATACATATATATGACATATATATATGTTGATCTCATATATATATATGTATATATATATATATATATTTTTTTTTATCTGAAAGGCAGAATCTAGAGACAGAGAGAGAATGTTTTCCATCTACTGGCTTATTCCTCATATGACTGCAAGGAGCCAGGAGCCGTTTTTTTCCACATCTCCCAAGTAGACATAAGAGCTCAAGAACTTGAGCCATCCTCTGCTGCTTTCCCAAGCCATAGCAAGGAACTTAACTGGAAGTGGAGCAGCCACGACTTGAGGTGCAGGCGGAGGTTTAGCCTATGACACTACAGCACCAGCCCCCAAAACAGTGAACCTTAATGCCATGAATCAGTACGAGCTTAAGCCCCAAATCTGTCACCAGCTGAAGTGAACTGCCCACAGGTGACCTTACAATCCAATCCCCAACCCTCTTTTAGCCTCAGTTGTCTTAAAGTGGGAATGTCTCTCTTGTAAAGTTTTTATGGAGAGTAAAATAGACTGATGTAAACCGACTAGAAAAGATCACAGGAACTTATTAAAATGATGTCAATTATTCCTGCATTTCCTTTTAAGATGGTGGTGTCCTCCAGCACCCACCTTCCCTCCACAGTTGCAGGAGCCGCCCTGGCTTCAGGGGAAGAGAAGTTTGTGGCACCCCTGTATGCAGTGGGTCACGTTGCATTGTGTTCATGACCTTGTAACTCATGTTGAAAACTAAAGTTTTTGGTTTTTCTTTAAAAACCAAAAGAAATCTTTTTAAAAATTACATTCCTATTTTCTAGGACTTCAGTTTTTTCAATCTTTTAAAAACTGATAACAGCAATGAAATAGTTGTCTAAGTGATATAGTCTAAAAAATAATATCTTGACTTCAATGCAGCTTTATTTTTAACATTTATTTTTATTGCAAGTCAGATATACAGAGAGGAAGATCTTCCAGTCCATTGATTCACTCCCCAAGTGGCCACAATGGCTGGAGTTGAGCCCATCTGAGAACAGGAGCCAGGAGCCTCTTCTGGGTCTCCCACATGTGTGCGGGGTCCCAAGGCTTTGGGCCATCCTCGACTGCTTTCCCAGGCTGCAAGCTGGGAGCTAGATGGGAAACAGGCTGTCAGGACTAGAACTGGTGCCCATATGGGATCCCAGTACATTCAAGGAGAGGACTTTAGCCACTAGGCCACTACGCCAGGCCCCTTCAGATCATATTCTATCTCATGCTTTATAAGTGGTTCCTAAGGACTCTTCTATGCTAATTGACCAGTGCTGGTCTGGCAGACATTGAGAGTTTTTCTCTGATTGCAGTATCTCAAATATCCCTTTTTGTGTTAGATCAGCACACTAGTTCTCATACATGTGCTGAGCATTCTGGGCCTATAGGAACCAAACTCTTAGTGCTGGAGCTCAGAGTAGAAGAGATTGCCTACAGACCCAGTGGGAGAAATGGAGTATACACACATGTCCTGCAGACTGGGCTCCACTATTCCAGGGTCTACTTCCTTTATTTAAGTGAAAAATATCCCAGTTCAGCAACCAGTGCAAACTCCAGGACGCAGGGGCAGTGTTTTGTACCAGCAATCTCAGGAAAGCAAAAGGAATTTTTGAATGCTGGTTCCTTATTGTTAAGTTCTTCCCAACAAGCTTTCATCTCCCCATACCACAGGTTGAACTACCAACCTCATTTCACACAAATGCACTTGAACATTTGCCGTGTTTCAGTACAAAGTACACAGGATCACATGTGCACACTTGGGGGTGGCCTCGGTGCTTGAGCTTTTGCCATGTTAGATTCCTGACTTCGCTCCCCATTAGCTGTGTGATCTTGGGAACAACATTTGACCAAACCCCACATCTGAAAATCATGACTGAAATGTCTAACTCCCTTACATAGGGTTTTGTAAAAGTGAATGAGCACATGTAGGTGTTCAGAATAGTTTGTTCTATAGCATATGTTCAGAAAATATTTAGGGCACTTAGTGTGAGCACTGGGTGAGAGCCAGCCAAGGACTGGCCTTCAACAGGTGGTTATTTATCAGAAGGTCAAACAGACACCATGGCAACAGGTGTAGTTTTCAGTGAGAACAGTAGGTACAATAAGCATGCCCAGCTAGAGGGTGCAGGAGGGATGGCTGCTGGGGCCCCTCACCTCAAGGGTCTCTTTGAAGGGCTGAGACACACATGCTCAGAGAACAATCCCAAACAAAGCCACACCCTTGGCGCTGCGTCCAGGCAGTCCCAAAAGCCTCAGCAAATATGTAGCTATTTGAAGAACTTAAAAAGTCTTGCTGGACAAATCAAGTCCCCGGACACCCAAGGAGGTGAGCCTCAAGGACATGGTGTGATGGAAACAAGCGTGAGGCCCATAAACAGCCCTGTCCCCCGCCCAGCCCCAGCCCCAAACCTTGTGAGTTCCCTGCAGGCACCTCACCAGTGGCTAGCACCCCCTGCAGCTCCTCCCTCCCCTCCAGATCTTGGAGTTTGCTCTTCTGGGTCATTCCGCTGCCCCAGGAGCTGTCCCTGAGCTCTTTATCCTGTACCTGCACTTCCCCACTTCCTATTCTGTGCAGGCCTCACAGGGGCTTCAGTGTTAAGATAGAGGCTTCTTGTGAGGATTCAGCAAAACAAGCTGTGTGAATACTCTGACATGATGTAGCTCATTCTCCTTTTCTGGGGGTTGTTGTCAACCCCCTGGGCCTCCCCATCAGGGATAGCTAACGATAAAACATCACCAAGATAGCTCCATCCAACCCTACAAAAACCTGGTTTCTACCCACACCCCACAGTGTCCACTGAAGACTCAACTTCAAAACCTTGCTTCTTTGCCAGGCACTGTGGCTTTTCACATTGTTCTCCCCAGGTCAGCCCTCTAGAACCTTTCTCATGGCTTTCCAGCAATAAATGAGGAGCCTCTGCATCACAGTTTGCCTCTCCAGCACACCCAAAGGACTTGCTACTTAGGAAGTGTGAACAGGTGGCCTCGCAGCTTGCTGCCACAGCCCAGGCTTGGGCCATCTCAAGGCAGTCTGCTGTGCTCCACCACCTCCTCGAGGTGCCACTTTATTGAGACGGTAAAATACCAGGCTGAGCCAAGCAGTGTTTCTTATCTCATGGCTGACTGCAGTGCCCTCCTCCCCTGGCTCAGTAGGGCTGACAGGAAACACTCTTACCTTGAATGCCAGGACTGCCAGTTTCCCAATGTTTCCCCTCTATCCCCTCTATAGCCTCCCAGTCCACTCCAGGGATCTTTCATCACAGTTGGTTTCTGACATTTGAAACCACAGAACCTTCACTGACACATAGTTTTCTGGGCCTCCAAGGAGAGCCAAGCAAATTGTTCCCTAGACCTGGGTCACTCAGGACTACCCAGCTGCAGTACCTGTGCCGTCGGGAGTGGACCTCACAAAAGTTGGCAGCATTTTCACGGACGCAGTGGGATGGGTGGTGGCTCCAAGCCCTTTCTCCATCTCCTTGCGGAACCTCTTAGAGATCTCCAGGAGGGTCTCATCAGAGAGACGCATGTGGTAGAGATACTGGTCAACCTAGAAGAGGTGGGTGGGAAACAGCAAAAAATCCATAAGTCAAATCAATCACGGTACATGTCTCTTGTGAAACCTCCCTCAAAAATCTGTTAGGTACGGAGATTTACTAAAGGCCATTAACAAGAACTGATATGATGAAATTTTTGCCTTTGGGGAAAAAAAAAGAAAAAAGAAAAACTACAGAAATAGATGCTGCCAGTCACTTCCAGCACCACGAAGAGAAAATTGTAACAGCTATCACTAGCCAGGGATAGGGGAGAGGTGTGGGGGGAGTGTGTACAGCTTCTATGAGATGAGTATCATCCTCACACCATCATAAAGTCATAAACTATTAAGTGGAATCACTATAGGTCAGAGCTATCTGGGTTAGTGTCCACAATGGCATGGACATCACAGTACCAGAACCTGAGATGTGTGGGTTCACCTATGTGAGCTCCAAACCTGGCATGGTACCTAACATGTTGAGAGGCTCTGTGTAAATGACACCACCCTTTCTCATGCGCTCAGAGGCAAAAGCTGGCCTTGCCCCTGGCATATTTATATTAACCATTTCCAGATTGCATACCAGGAGGGGCAGAAGCACCAGTAACCCTATCAGAGTTTCTTGATAGGGCGGGACTAGAACAGATGCTGCTCTTTCCAGTTCTAGAGCTCATGGATTCCAATCTGCTGTCATTCTTATGAGAAACAGGTTAATGACCCAACCCCGACAAAGGACACGGTGTTTTGCAGTTGGTTTTCTTGGACTAACACACTCATTAATGGGAAAGCTTTCTGTTTTTTCAGCCTTTTTGGATTTATTTTATTTGTACTTGGGACCTCTTTCACTGCCTACCCAGGCACATTAACAGTATTGGCTTTGAACTCATTTGATTGTGGCCATTCTCAGTTCATCTTTGATGTTTAAACTGCTAGAAAGCTTGTTGGAAATCCTGAGTCTTCTCACCTTTAACTCTGAAGACTCAAGTTAAATGGTCACCCTTTACTCAAGTCACGTTGCCCTTTGCACAATAGATGATGGCAATGAAAACAAGTGACAACAATAACTACAACAGCTGAACCTTAACCAAGCAGCTCTAACCTGCCAGGCGCCCTCCACAGCTGGAACAACTTGATTTCCACTGTCTTTTTGTGACACTTCTGTGTCCTTGTTTAACAGGCCACTCAAGTGGTAGGGGGCAGAGGTAGAATTCAAACAGAGGTTCTAAGGACCCTCATGACTGCCACCCTTGCCAGTCCATGGCCTCTTTCCATAGGGGTGGCATTCCCTGACTGCCCTCTGGTTTCCTGGGTGAGCCCTCTTCTAGTTTCCTCTTTATCAAGAGAAAGGATAGAACAGTGGTGAAAAACACACCTTGCCCCAAACTTCCCCTTTCACCCAGAGTTACCTTAACTATCAAACAACTGTACCCACCCAGTATCTTAATGTCATCCAAAAAACGATCACTGACTACCTAGTGTCATAATACTGGAGCTCACCCAGCTTGGAGGGCACTGCTGGTACTGAGTGAACAGCAGCCAACGAAAGTGCAAGTTAGAAAAATGAGGCAGCCTCCATTCAAAGTCAGTTTTTTAGCCAACTTTCAACCACAACAAAACCCCAGGGACAGGGCACAAGGCCATCTAAGTCAAGAGAGAGAGCCATGAAAGAGATGCCACATGCTCACACAGCACTGGGATTGCAGCTCAGAAACATTCCCCCGCACAGGTCACCGGCCTAGAAGTAAATTCTTTTCTAAGCATGAATGCTTACTACTTCCCTGTAAGTTGGCTATTGTTAGAAAGTTTTCTTTCAGTGAGAAATCTGCTTCCTCGTAATTTCATCTCCATTCTGCTATTTGTGATGTGTATTCTCAAACTCAGAATCACACAAGCAGCTTTAACAGTAAGTATTTGGGCACAGTGTAGTAGCCTAGTGGCTCAAGTCCTTGCCTTGCATGTGCCAGGATCCCATAAGGGCACGTGTTCATATCCCAGCTGCTCCACATCCCTTCCAGCTTCCTGCCTGTGGTCTGAGAAGCAATGGAGGACAGCACAAAGTCTTAGGATCCTGCACCCATGTGGGAAACCTGGAGGAAGCTTCTGGCTCTGATCAGCTCAACTCCAGCCACTACAGCCACTTATGGAGTGAACCAGCAGATGGAAAATCTTTCTCTCTGTCTCTCCCTCTCTCTGTAAATCTAACTTTCCAATAAAAACAAATAAACATGGCCCAGGTCCTTGAGGTCCTGCACCCATGTGACAGACCCAGATGAATCTCCTGGTTCTTGATTTTGGCCTGGCCAGGCCCCAGCTGTTGTGTCCATTTGGGGAGTGAACCAGTAGTTGGAAGATCGATCTCTCTTGCTGTAACTGTCTTTCAAATAAATAAAATAAAACTTTAATAATAAAAATGAAAGAAACACCTGTTTGAAGTTGTTTCAAATCATCAAAGCAGGGTCACCAGAGTAAATACTGATGCCGAGTTAGAACACTACTTAAGATACCTGTTTCCAACAGGGTCCTTGGCTAACAGTCCAGCCTCTATCTCCAATTCCAGCTTCCTAAAGTGCATGCCTTAGGAGGCAGCAGGTGATAGCTCAAGTACTTGGGTCCCTGCTGCCTATGTGCAAAACTCAGACTGAATTCTGGACTCCCGGCTTTAGTCTGGCCCAGCTACAGCTGTTGTGTGCATTTATAGAGTCAACGAGTAAAAACAAACTAAAAAGTATAAAAAACAAAGCAGAACGATTCAGGTTTTTAGTAACTGGTGGTGATGAAGTAGGGCATCAGAACAATCGGCATGCAAATTCTCACCACAGGTAGAAACTGTAGGTAATGTGTGCAACATTTAGAGGATGAACAATTCTACACAGTAATTTAGGAAGCAAGCATAAAGCTCTAGGCAATCCTCTTTCTACTACCTTTTCTTTCTAGACTTCTCTCTACCAAGTGGGCCCTCAGAAGATCAAAGCTACTTCTCAATCGTCTTCTGTCACACTTAGGGAGTTAACCATGTGGGGTTGCTTCTCTTTCACCTCTATCCTGTCTGGGAGACAGGAGGCAAGAAGGGACATTCCAGCAGTGAGGCAGGCCAGAGCACAGCTGGAGGGCTGCCCGCCTACCCCTGAGTAAGGGTGTGTGGGCAAAACAACACATTTTAGCTGATATCTATTAGGCAATGTCAAGGAGATTAGAACTTCCTCATTGGGTAATCCTGGTCAGCTGCATTTTTGCCCCAAAAGCCACCAGCCCGATATCCTTCCTCTAGCGTCTAGGGGCTGGTGGTGGAGGGGCAAGGCCATACTCTTGAGGAATATTTTCCTTCATAGCAGTACTAAGAGCGAGGGACATTTTGTCACAGCCATGTTGCACAGCCCAGAGGAAAGAAAAGATCTTCCTCATAGAGGAACCTCTTGGAAGGAATAGTGGGCAGGGTGAGTGACACATCTTTCCAGGAAGGGAAGGTCTGGAAATGGGAGCCAGAAAGAAATCTCGGGGAAACCGAGGCCCAGTAGAGACTGCCGTCCAGGACACCCACATGTGCGACAGCCCTACTGCTCCAGAGGGAACCCTCACAGGCCAGATGTCCATCTGAATGGCTGGTGACCAACACCTGGATCCTGAGACTACCACCTCTGGTCTCGGTGCCTTGATCAATTGATTTATGCCTGAAATATAGCAATATCCCAACTTTGTTGGTTTTGTTATTTAAAGTACTACAAACTTCACCTTGAGTACCTTAAGGGGCTTTAAAAGGGAAGTTACAGAGGAACCCCCAGATTCCAATGTCTAAATACCTAATTAGGACCCTAACATTTAACCCTTGGCTTCCTGGTCACTGCTACAGCTTCAGTATTTCCCACTTTATAGTATGTACTGAACCTCAATTATCCACAAAAACACTACAATGTAAAAAAACATATTCTAACAAAAAACATGTTTTGAGCCAGCGTATGGTGCAGTAAGCCAATTCTTTGCCTCTGGCAGGATATCTGGTACCGGTTGCAGTGCCCGCTAAACCACTTCCCATCCAGCTCCCCATTTATGGCCTTGGAAAGCAGTAGAGGTCGGCCCAAGTTATTGGGTGCCTGCACTTCCATTGGTACCCTCCCTCTCCCAGTTCCTCCTTAGATAGGCTCAGCTCTGGCAGTGGTAGCCATCTGGTAATTCCACCTTTCAAATAAAAGATGGGTCTCAGCAGATAAGTCAAGTACAATGTGAGGTAGCCCTTGATTGGGTGAAAGTGGCCTATGAAACCCAGAGCTCAGGAGACATTCAGAAGGTAGGGCCAAGTCCAAGATGCTGAGGAGCATTCATTTCAGACACAGAAAGCTACTAGCTCCTACGCCATTCAGGCTCCCTAGTGCAATGCTTCATAGCAATGTGATCACAAGTATTACCATAAAGGCCAGCTCCCTGTGTAAAACTGCCAAAACCACTCAATTTCCTTTAGGTTTATGCCAGGAGAAAGTTCAGCTGGTCAGACATATTATTTCCTCCTGCAGCCAACGAGATGGCAACACTGACTCAAGGACAGCTGTCCTTTATGCCTTGGCCACCAGGAAGCTCAGTGTTCTACCTTTAATGCCAATTAACAACTTCTAGTCTAAGTTTTCTGGTAATCATCCCCGCCCAACTGCTGACTCTTATTCTAGAAATCTTTTTACTTAAAGGTGAACTAAATCAACAACTCCTTTTAGTAAGCAGGCAGAAAATTAAATAATACATGAATGACTAAATGCTCAGTCATTTCTATGACACACCTTCCCAATAGAAGGATGAGCTCAAGTGTTCACAAAGGCTAAAAAAGTGACTCAACAAGCTTAGACGGATCCCAGCTAAGGATGCAAGGACACATGAACCAGAGTTGATTGCCTTCTGATCTTCGGATATTTCATATTTTTTTTATTTGAAAGGCTTTACAGAGAGCAGGATGTACACTCAATCTTTCATCCACTGCTTCACTCCCCAAGTGGCCATAATAGCTGGAGCCGAGCTAATCTGAAGCCAGGAACCAA